TCCTCCCGTGACCTGACCACTCGATACATCAGAAAGCGGAGGCACGGAGAGGCCAGGGCACACGCCCAAGGTCACGCCGACAGAAAGCTGCCGACCTGGAATCCCAACCCAAGCAGCCCGGCTCCTGAGCCCCCGTTCACGAGGCTGCTGACCTCGGACGAGTCAGCGAGACTCCTTAAGCCTCGGTTTCCTCGTCTGTACCACGAGGCCCCTGGAAAAGGAACGGGTTAATGGACACGGAGTACTGAGAGCAGCATCCGGCACACAGCGGGTGCTGCTGCTGCTGCTGCTGCATGAACATCATCCGATTCCAGAGCCCACGCGCTGAACTGAGTCCTAAAATAAGGAAGTTTGAGCAAATCTCGCAGAAGGAAGCCTTTGAGGACCACTGTCCATAGCTAGTTCCACCACAGCCCCCCCCCCTACACACACACACACACACACCACCCCAAAGGCCCTCCCAGGCAGCCTACCTCGAGCGGGGTGAAGTCGTGGTTGACCAGGAATGCCAGGATAGCTGTGGGCACCACGAGGAACTCCACCCGGAACGTGTCGTGGTTCCCGTCGTACGTGGCTTTGAACTTGCTGTAGATCATCCAGACTGTGGTGAAGGAGCAGGCGATGTAGACCACCTGTGGAGGGGGGAGGAGGAGGGAGGGGGAGGAGGGTGCTTCAGCTCCGAGCACCTGCACCCCCAACAGGCTGGGGCCCAGGAGCCTGGAACCCCAGCCCCTTCTCCCTCAGACCCAAGAACCTCAGCCCCTGTCACCTCCTCCCTCAAATCCAGGATCCCCCTCCTCCCCCAGGAGGGCCCAGCAGGTGGGCATGGCCTTACCTTCATGCATGTGTTGTAGAGGGAGATGTAGTTGGTGAAGAGGTCCAGGTAGCGGGCGGTGAAGACCACGGCAAACAGGACCTGGCTCTTCCCCGAAATCCCTGCGGCGCAGAGAGAGTGGGGGGCGTCAGAGAGAGAGGAGCCGGGGGTGGGGGGCTGCCTGGGGCAGCTCTGGGGTGCACCGGTCCCTGGAGGCCTGCCCTGTCCGCCCCGCCGGAGCACAGCCCTATCCCGGCCCACAGCCAGGGGGCAGCCGGCCCCAGAGCTACTCCAGCCCGAGGCTCCGTCCCGAGCTAGGCCTCACGGCCACCCGGAGCCCCCTCGGGGGTCCTCCCAAGTCCAGGCTCCAGGTGGGGGCCTCGGGGGAACCCCACTTGGCCTCGGTGTGCCCCCCAGAACCGGCCGCCTCCCTCCCGCTCTCTTCCCGGCCGCCAGGGTCCACGTCACCAACTCCCAGCCGCCTCCCTGCGGGCCCCGGGCCACGGCTCCCGGACCCGGGCCGCCCGCAGCGGGGCCGGGGAGGCTGCACGGGGTGCCTGGAGCCGCCCCCACCCAAGTGCGCGCACCCCTAGGCTGGGGGTGGGGGGGAGCTGACCCCCCGGTGACCCGGGACCTGGAAGAGGGGATCCCCAGCGGGCGGGAGGGGGAGGGACCCGTCCCCCCCACATGGCCTCCACCCTCCCCCGCGTCCCGGGACGCCCCCCGCCGCCCCCGCGGGCGTCTCACCGGCGCACGAGCGGGACTTCCAGATTTTGAGCAACAGCAGGATGATGGCTAGGAGGTGGGAGAGGTCTCCCAGGAATCGGAAGAGATTCATGGCTGGGGCGGGGGGCTCTGGCAGGGCTGGCGGGGGCTGCCCCCCGGGGCTGGCTGCAGGGCGGGAGAGGGGCCCTGGGTGGGCTCCGCTCCTGGCGGGGGCTCTGGGAGGGGGAGCCGAGGCGGGAGCGGCGGCGGAGCCGGAGCTGGGAGCTGGGACGAGGCGGGAGGGGGAGGGCCGGGGCGGGGAGGCCCCACCCCGGAGGGCGGGGCCCGGGCTCTCTGGCGCCCCCTGCCGGCGCCAGCCTGCTGGCAGGGAATGCGCCCCCAAGGCCGCCGCCTGCTGGATGTGTGCAGGTGGAGGGGGTGGGGGGGTGGGGGGGTCTTTGGGATCTGAAACTCCCAAATCTGGCCCCTGCTCCCCTAGGCGGTCTGGGCCCAGCCCCTGACCTTGACAGCGATTGGGGAGGCTGAGCTCTGAGCTCTCACAGTCCCAGGCAGGGACCCAGAGGCTGGCTCTTCATGGGCCTCCAGCCCGAATGCACCCAAAGGACAAGAAAGCAGCCCCCAGCACCCCCCTCAAACCCAGGAGTATGGGCCCCCGGACCCCCGCCCACGGCTCAGGAGTCCAGGCCCCAGCCCTGTTCCTTGCGTCTCACCTCCACCATCTGGTGTTACGAGCACCCTAGACCCAGGAATCTAGGGGCCCGATTCCTGCCCCCCTCTGAGACCCACAGTCTCTTCCTTTCAAAAACATAAGCCGTCGCCCCTGCTCTCCCAGACCCTGGAGTTAGGGCATTCCCACAGCCCTGGCTCCCGCCCCAGCTCCAGAACTGCCCCCCCCCCACACACACACACACACTTTCTCCTCTCCTCTTCTCTTCTCTTCTCTTCTCTTCTCTTCTCTTCTCTTCTCTTCTCCTCTCCTCTCCTCTCCTCTCTCTCTCTCTCTCTCTCTCTCTCTCTCTCTGCCTCTGCCCTCAGGAGCCCAGGTGTCCTGTGCCATACGCCACCCCAGCACTTGATGGAGGTGCCGGGCCAGCCTCTGTAGCGGGGAGGGAGGGAGCTGGCCTCGGAGGGGACCTGCCGGGCTGTGTCTACAGGGGGCAGATGCCGCTTTCCTCTGCTGTCTGGGCGCCCACAGGTGACCCCGGCCTAGGCCCCTCAGTAAAGGAAGGGGGACAGAGGCTTCCTCAGAGGAAACCATGAGCCTTAGACCAGGGGACCCCTGAGGGGCTCACATTGTCTGAGGGCTTAAAAGGGACTCGGGCCAGGAGGAGGGGCCTAAATTACTGGGTACCATTGGAGAAGGGACCAGGGGCTGGACCCCTGGGTCTGAGGGAGGAGGGCTGGGGGCCTGGACCCGTGGGTCTGAGGGAGGAGGGCTGGGGGCCTGGACCCCTGGGTCTGAGGGAGGAGGGCTGGGGGCCTGGACCCCTGGGTCTGAGAGAAGAGGGGCTGGAGCCTGGACCCCTGGGTCTGAGGGAGGAGGGGCTGGGGGCCTGGACCCCTGGGTCTGAAGGAGGAGGGACTGTGGGCCTGGACCCCTGGGTCTGAGGGAGGAGGGGCTGGGGGCCTGGACCCCTGGGTCTGAGGGAGGAGGGGCTGGGGGCCTGGACCCCTGGGTCTGAGGGAGGAGGGGCTGGGGGCCTGGACCCCTGGGTCTGAAGGAGGAGGGGCTGGGGGCCTGAGTGTGAGGGAGGAGGGGCTGGGGGCCTGGACCCCTGGGTCTGAGGGAGGAGGGGCTGGGGGCCTGAGTGTGAGGGAGGAGGGGCTGGGGGCCTGGACCCCTGGGTCTGAGGGAAGAAGGCATCAGCTACCTGGAGTCCTAGGTCTGGGCAAGGGGCCTGGGGGCCTGGATTTTTGGGTCTTGGGGGAGGCGGGGCCTGGGGGCCTGGACCCCTGGGTCTGAGGGAGGAGGGGCTGGGGGCCTGGACTCCTGGGTTCGAGGGAGGAGGGCTGGGGACCTGGACCTCTGGGTCTGAGGGAGGAGGGTTTGGGGGCCTGGACTCCTGGCTCCATGGAGACCTACTTTGCAGGCCCGGCCTTCTGCATCCACACCGGCCTGGCGCTGGGTCCTGGCTGTGGCCTCGGGCCTCCTGCTTCTCAAGCCTCCAAGTGGGAGGGGAGGGGGGGCTGATCCCGGGGTCCCAAGCTGGTATCTCAGCGCCAGATCCTGAGTCCCTGCCTCCCCCCCCCCCGCCCCTCCTCCCTTTTACCCGCGGCCCCCGCTCTCCTGTCCCGGAGGGAGGCAGCGGCTGGAGGCTGGGGTGGGGGGCACCCCTGCCCCGCCCCGGCAGGAGGAGGGGTCCCCGGGAGGCCGAGAGGGGGCCGGGGCGTCTCCGGCAGGGGCGGACGGGGACTGAATATTAATCGCATCCCCAGTGAGTGTGTGTGTGAGAGAGAGAGCGAGCGTGCGGTCCTCCCGCTCCGGCTCCCGAGCCCGGCCGCCGCCGCCCGCCGTCCGCCGCCTCCCCGCCCGCCGCCCCGGCCGCCGCCGCCCCGCTCCGCTCCGGTCCCGGCGGGGGTGCTGGCGGGTCCGCCCGGCCCCCAGGGGTCTCCCGAGCGTCGGCTCCGGGTGAGGATCTGCGGTCCGGGTGTGGGCTGGGCTGGCGGAGGGGGGGTGTGTCTGAGGGCTGCGGCGGCGGCGGGAGGGAGGAGGGCGGCGAGGAGGGAGGGTCTGTCTGTCTGTCTGTCTGCACCGACCCTGAGCCGCCCGGTGGGTGTCGTGGGTCCCCCACTCCCCCCCCCCCCGCCCTCTCCACCGGCCCCGAACCGAATGGATGGTGTGTACCTGGGCTCCGTGCCTCCTGCCTGCGTCCGCCCGGCGCCCGGCTCCCCGGCCGCCTGTGTCCTGCTGTCTGTCTGTCTGCCTGTCTGTCTGTCTGCCTGGCGCACAGCCCCTGAGGCAGCGGGCCGGACCCCGGGGTGTGAGTGTGAGTGTGTGAGTGTGAGTGTGTGTGTGAGTGTGTGTGTGTGTGTGTGACTGTGTGTGTGTGTGTGTGTGTGAGTGTGTGTGTGTGAATGTGTGAGTGTGAGTGTGAGTGAGTGTGTGAGTGTGCCCCTCCCCGGGCTCCGGGTGCTGGAGGGAATCCCGGGGAGCTGAGGGAGTGGGGGCGCGGGGGGCGCGGGGCGCGGGGCGCGGGTCTGGGGGCGGCCAAGCGGAGAAGGGCCAGCAGCTCCCGGGCACGCAGCCTCCCGCCCCTCGCCGGCCGCCGGCTGCAGAGGTGACCCAGACAGGCAGGCAGGCAGGCAGACGGACGGACAGACGGACGGACAGGCGGACAGACAGGCAGGCAGACGGATGGACAGGCAGACGGACTGGCAGACACAGACAGGTTGGGGGACAGGGCGGGGGAGCGGCGCGGAGGGCACAAAGGGGGGGTGCGAGTGAGCCGGGGAGAGGCGGGACTGGACACATGGACCGGGGGGAGGAGCCGGGGCTGAGGCGGCGGAGGGGGGCACCCCGGGTGGGCGGAGGGGGATCCCCACGGGGTCCGGGGCGGCGAGAGGACACCCCGACAGCCTCCGCAATGTCCGGGGCCCAACTTCCAGCGCAACATGTGTAGCGGCGTCCTCGCCTAGCCGGGTGGCCGCAACCTTGGGGGACAGACCGGGCAGGACGGGCCGGGAAGAGGGAGAGCCGCGCCGGCCGCCGCCGCCCCGGGCCTGCCCCCCGCGGCGCCCAGCCCTCCGCGGATCTTCGGGTCGCTGGACTCCGGGTTCCGGTCTCAGCCCCCCAGCATTCCCCACGACAGATCAGGGTCATGAAAAGGTAAGTCCGGGGCCGGGGATGCGGGGGTGGGGGTGGGGACGTGGACCCCCAGATCCAGCGCAGGGAAAGTTGGCCCGGGCCTCGGGGAAGGAGGGGGTTGGAGAGTGGTCTTTGCCCCCCTCTCTCCCCCTGCACCCCAGCTGCCTTGTCCCTTGGGGACTCTTCCCTGTCCTCTCTCTCTGAGTCCCCTTATTCCTGGTCTCTTCAGCTCAGACTTCCTACCCCCCTCCCCATTTCGGACACCTGGCTCCCTCTCCCCAGCCCCACCTACCTGACACCCCACATGCCGCCCCCCCCCCTCTCCCCATCGCCCCTTCCCTCCGCACGCCCCGTCCCTCCGCATCCCTCTCCCCCCTCCCGGCCTGGCCCTCTCCCTCGCTCCTCCCGCGCTCCCCTCCCTCCTCGGAGCTATGAGTCTGCTATTAATACCCCTGCCAAGGACCTTGAGGGCGTCCGGGCCGGCACCCCTCGCCCCTGGCTGCCACCCCTTCCTCAGGGTCCCCCAGTGCCCCCCCCCCCCGCCAGCCTGGGGCCCCGGGGCTGGGAAGGGGAGGGGATGGAGATGTAGGTGCGGGAACGGGAAGGGAGCCGTCTGCAGCACGACCGAGGGCGGGCGGGCGGGCGGGCTGTTGATCCAAGTGGCCTCTCTCCTCTGTGATGGATTTGGAGCGGGGGTTGATGGAGAGAGGGCGCCCCAGGAATCTCTGGCAGCCTCCTTCTCCTCCTCAGCTGGGGTCAGGCTATGCCGTAGACAGGACAAGCTGGCAACTGGGAAGCCTGGAGCCGGGGGGTGCCCGGAATGTGTGTGTGTGGGGGGGATTGATAGGATCCGAGACAAAAGGGGGTCCTTCAGGGAGGAAAGGGCCCTGGGCCTGGACACCTGGTTTGGGGTGGGCGCAGGGGAGGCTGGGTGCCTGGAGCCCTGAACCCAGGCCGGAGGGCCCGGGCCTCCCGGGTCCTGGGAAGGGAGGGAAGGGACGGGGCTGAGTGCCTGCACCCCGGGTCCTGGAGGGAGGGAGCCAGGCTGGGACTCGGGGCCGCCTGGGAAGTTGGAGGGGAGGGCTTCTGGTCTGGGCGGGAGGAGGGGACGCCCCAGTCCCGGACTGGGCTGTGGGCAGGACTCCCTCTGGCCTCCTGGGGGTGGGAATGGGGCCTGGGGCGGTGGAGATTGGGGGCCTGGATGATATGACCCCACGGGGGTGCAGCTTCTGAGGACTGGGGTACCGCTGAGCCCCCTGAGCCTGGGTACCGCTTCTCCGCCCCTTCTGAGCCCACAGGGGAGCAGACCGAGCATCCAGCTCCTCAGAAGGGCCTCGGTGGGAGCAGGACCCTGGGGCCAGGCAGGGGTGTGTGGGGAGGGGCTAGGCCTGAGAGGTAGAGGAGGGGCTGAGGGCTGAGCAGCCACCAGGAACGGAGGCGAGCGAAGTGTTAAGCCCGCAGGGGCCAGGCCACAGCTGCGGGTTATTTTGGGGTAGGGGTGGCGGCTATTCTGAGCACTGAGTGAGCCAGCTGCTTGGGGAAGGGCAGAGGAGAGGAGGGACCTGGGGAGCTAGGATTTGGGGGGGACAGGCATGCTATGAGCCCCCCCCCCTTCAGGGAAGACAGTGGCCCAGGATCTCTGGGCAGGTGGGTGAGGTGGGGGCGGGGCCTCTGGGCAGGGGAAGGGGCTCTGGGCCTCTCCCCAAGCCAGCTATCAGTGGGGTAGACAGGCCTGTGCTGCCATGGCAACCGGACAGGAGCCTGATTGACAACCAAGATAGAACCCTCCCCTGTCTGGACCCTCACCCCTGCAGGAAGCCCCCAGTGTGGGCTGGAATTCCTCTCTGGGAACCAGGAGTCCGGGCCCCCCCAATGCCCGCCTCCCTCAGACCCAGAAGCCAGGAGTCTGGGCTCCCAGCCCGCCCACCCTGGGGAAGCTAGCATTCAACAGGGACAAGGGCAGAGACGATATATTGTATTTCTTCTCATTGACAAAATTGCTCTGGGTGGGGAGCCAGGGACCCCCTGTCCCCCCACTCTGGCTCTCCACAGCTGTGTCCCCCCTACCCGCCCCCCACCCCCGCAACCCCACCGCCACCCTGGGCCATGTTCTTTCTAGCTCTCCCTGAGAATGGGGGGCACAGGGGCAGCATTACGGGGACCAAAGTGGGCTGGGGGCTGAATGAGGGGTGAGGTCAGGGGGGCCTTCTCTCCTTAGGATGCCCCACTAATTTTTTTCTGCTCTTTCTCTCCCCCTACACCCCTGACCCCCTTTTTCCCTTTCTCATCTTTGTCTTCCTTTTATTTTCTGATCCCTCCTGCCATTCGCCTTCCCGGCCTTCCTTTCATGTCTGTGCTGGGCACCTCCCTGGCGGGGGTCTTGATCTCTCTGCCTTGCCTTGTTATTTCTGTCTGCCTGTTTTCTGTCTGCTCCGCCCGCCTCCCCGCTCCATCTCTGCCTCTGCCCGGTTCTCCATCACTGGTGTGTGCTCGTCCGTCCCGGGTGGCTGTGGGTCTCTGTCTCCCTCCATGTCTTCCCGTTCTTTCTCTCTCTCTCTCTCTCTCTCTCGGTCCAACTTTCTCGTCTCTCTTCTCTCTCCGGCCTCCCTGCGTCCATTGTCCATCGGCATCTGTCCTTGGCTCCCTGATACCCCTCCGTTTGTCACCTGTTTGTCTTATCTCTCCACCTCATCTCCCCACCTCATCTCTGAGCCCCTCCACCCCTGACCTTCCATCTCTCTCCTTATTTCGGTCGCACTTTCTCTGGGACTGTCTCTCTGTCTCTCCATGGTTTGCATCTCTCTTCCCATCATCTCCCTGGCTCTCTCTCTCTCTGGCTCCCATTTTGATCCCATCTCTGTGGGTCTGTTTCCTCGTCTGTCCTGTCTCGTGTGATTCCTCCCCATCCGCATCTCGGTCTCTTCCCCACCTGTCCCCATTCCCCGGCTGTCCCCGGGTCTCTCCCCGTCTCTGACTCCCCCATTTTCCTCCGGTCTCTGCATCTCTCCCTCCCTCTATCTCACTTTCCTGTATCTCGTCCCCCTGTCTCTGTCCTCCTCCCGCCCTGTCTCTCTGATTTGTGTCTTTTTTTTCTGCTCTTGGTGTCTCCCCGTCTCTGTGTGCCCGCTTCTCTCCTTGCCCCCGGTTCCCTCCTCGGCCCGGAGCGCAGAGGCCGCCCGGCGGGGCCCGCAGGCGATGCGCGGAGCCGGTGGCCCCGGCGGCCCTCGGGGCCCCGCTAAGATGCTGCTGCTGCTGGCGCTGGCCTGCGCCAGCCCGTTCCCGGAGGAGGCGCCGGGGCCGGGCGGGGCGGGCGGCGGGCCCGGCGGGGGCGCCGGCGGGGCGCGGCCGCTCAACGTGGCGCTGGTGTTCTCGGGGCCCGCGTACGCCCCGGAGGCCGCCCGCCTGGGCCCGTCCGTGGCGGCGGCCGTGCGCAGCCCGGGCCTGGACGTGCGGCCGGTGGCGCTGGTGCTCAACGGCTCGGACCCGCGCAGCCTCGTGCTGCAGCTCTGCGACCTGCTGTCGGGGCTGCGCGTGCACGGCGTGGTCTTCGAGGACGACTCCCGCGCGCCCGCCGTCGCGCCCATCCTCGACTTCCTGTCGGCGCAGACCTCGCTGCCCATCGTGGCCGTGCACGGCGGCGCGGCGCTCGTGCTCACGCCCAAGGTGCGCGCGCGCGGCCTGGGGGCGGGGCCATCTGCGGGGCGGGGCCAATAGGGGCGAGGGTCTCTAAGGGGCGGGGCTTGGGCGCGGGGGGGGGCCCGTCTTGAGGGTCAGCTTCTGGGACCAATGAGGGCCCGATGGTAGTCGGTGGGGGTGGGGCTACCCTGGAGGGCGTGGTCTATAGGGTGAGCGTGGGGCGGTGGGGGGCCTGCCTGGGGACTCACCTAGAGGTAGGGTCTCAAAGAGGCCAGTCATGGGGGTTGGGAGTGTGTGGGTTGAGGATTCTACAGAAAAAGGTGAGACAGGAAGGGGGTAGGATCTGGGGAAGGAGCTGGACAGAGCGAAAAGAGACAAGGCTGACGTGGCAAGATCTGAGGGAGGAGTGGGATCTAGAATCAGAGAGGGAAGACTCACTCGGAAAGGAATGGGGTTCAGAAAGGGGTGGGGTCTAGTGAGGAGGCCGCAGCCAGGAAGGCAGGGACGGGACAGGGACCAGGAAAGATGGGTATCAGGTTAGGAGGGACAGGGAGGCTCGCCAGGCTGAGCTTGGGGTCTACAGATTTATGTAGAAGGACAGAGCCATCGGTGGAAGGAGTGTGAGGAAGGGAGGAGTCCTTCGTGAGAAGTGGGCTGCAGAGGTGGAGTCTTGGAGCAAGGGAGTGGGTTTTTGGGCGTGGGCAGTCAGTGAGAGGTGAGAATCGTGCCTAGAGAGGAAGCCAGTACTGGCAATGGGTTTGAGGCAGGGCCTACCCAGCCATAAAGTGTGGAAATCAAGAACCCAGTAGCTGGGCCTGGAGGGATGAGGGCCCAGCCACTGAGAGATCATGACCAGGAGTCTGGAGGAGAGGCTGGGGCAGAGGCTGGAGCTGCCTGTGGCCTGGAGAGGGGCCTGCTTCCCCAGGGCACGGGCGGGGCCAGCTGGAGTGAATTTCTGGTAGCAAAGGTCAGAATCGAGAAGTAAAAGGGTCATCTACTAGGAGGTGCAGAGAAGGGGCGGGGCCCATCAGGAGTGGAACCAATGTGACAGAGGATAGGGCCACCTGAGTGGGTGGGGCCTACATCTCCACCCTCTCCCAGCTGTGAGGGTGGCTGGCTTTGTCACTAGATGACTATTGCATGCTGGGACTCGTAGTTCTCTCCTGTCTAGAGCATTCTGGCAAAGGCCTCTGTCCAACTTGCTGCTTGCTTGTCTTTGGCTTGGAGTTGTCCACAGATTTGTGGGCAGGTCACCTTCAAGGTGAACGTACAGTTTCCTGGCTGCCTCCTCATGATAGACCAAAAGGTGTGGTCCCTCGTGCCTCCTGTTGCTGAGAAGTGTGGTCTGCTCTGTGGATTGTCTCTTCTTGGGCGCTGTGGCCCGCTCAGGGTACACCCATTCCCTTCTGGGAAATGTAGTCCCTCAGGGTCTTCCGATGCGATAAAGAGTGGTCCTCATAGCTCCATCTGTTGCCCCCACTGAACGCTGGGAATGTGGTCCCCTCAGCACCCCTCCATCTGCAAAGGGTGAGGCCCTTTCAGAGTTTCATTGCATGCTGGGAGACCTCATCCCCTCAGGACAGCTGCCTCTCCCCTGCGCATGTAACTGCAGGCATACACCTTCGCGTGAGTCCACTTGCTCTTCTCGTCGCATTACTGGAAGATTTACTAAAGGCTGATTCTGGGCCAGGGATGTTTCAGGTTCTGAATATATATATATATATTCCCTGCTCATGAAGCTTGCATTCTAATTGGGTGACAAAGAAAAACAAAACAAAACAGAAAACCAACAACACAAATCATGCAATAGAATCGGTCCTGGAAGAAAGCAACAGGATATTGTAATAACTGAGATGGGGTTTCAATAGATGGCAGTCTGGCTGAAACCGGTTTGGCTCAGTGGATAGAGCGTCGGCCTGTGGACTGAAGGGTCCCAGGTTCGATTCCAGTCAAGGGCATGTACCTTGGTTGCGGGCACATTCCCAATAAGGGGTGTGCAGGAGGCAGCTGATCGATGTTTCTTTCTCATTGATGTTTCTAACTATCTCTCTCCCTTCCTCTCTCTAAAAAAATCAATAATATATATATAAATAGATGGCAGATGGAGAAGGCCTCCCAGCGATGGTGACAACTGAGCTCACCTGAGAAGGGAGGAGGGGTGGGAGGAGGGTTAGGCCCCGCGTAGAGGAGCTGGGGAGGTTACAGCTTATTGGAATAGGCCTCGGTGGCTCGCGGCCGCCCTGTTGGAAAGCCCCCGGAAGCAGAAAGGAACTGGATGTGTTTGAGAAGGAGCAGAGCGGCGGGGGTGCTGGGAAATGAGGTCAGAGAGGCAATGGGGCCCGGCTCCTGCGGGGCCTTGTGGGCCACGGAGACGGCTTTGGCTTTGACCATAAGATAGAATCGCTGGAAGCTTTTCAACCAAGGAGGGACGCAATCCAATTAATATTTTGCAAAGATCACTCTGGCTGCTGTTGGTGGGGGGGGGGGGTGCAGGGGGAGGATGATGGACTGGAGGATCCAAGAATGGAAGCAGAGATGGGTTGGGAAGCTGTTGTCCTTGTCTAAGCACGAAAGTGGTGACAGTGGGGGAGTGTGACAGGAGCAGTGATGAGGAGTGGACGGAGATCCAGGAAGCCTTGGAGATGGCCTGGCTGTGGGCATGAGGGAAAGAGAGAGAAGGATGACTTAGCTTCCAAGCCTGAGCAGCCGGGTGCATAAGGAAAAGACAGGGAACAGGCCCGAGGTGAGGGAAAGATGGAGAATTCTGGTTTTGACCTGTTCATTTTGAGGAGCTTCTTGGAAATCCAAGGGGAGGTGTGGAATAGAAAGTTTTGTCCAGAGCTCACAGGACAGGGGGTGAGTGAAGACAGGAGTCACTAACACCTCCAGTGCTGTCCATAGAACTTTCTAGAATGAAGATGGCCTGCAGCTGGTCGGTCCCAAATGGTAGCCACTAGCCATGCATGGGTGTTGGACAAGTGACACGTGGTTAGTGCAGCAGGGACCCAAATTGTAGTGAATTAAAATGTGAATAGTCAGAGTTGGCTAGTGGCTGCCATCTTGGATAGTGCAAGAGACTGTGTTTAAACCCATGGATAGGGACAAGATCAGCAGGGAGAGAGGACCTGGAAGGAAAGAGGAGACTAGGGCACTCCTGCGTCTAGAATTCTCACCGAGGAAGAGAGTCCAGCAAAGGAAGCAGGGAAGGGGACAGGGAAATAGAAGGAAAACCCGAGAAGGGCAAGTCCGCCCAGCAAAGCTCCTTGAAACAGTATTTCCAGCACCCTCGTTGCATGCTGGGAGATGTAGTCCTTCTCGGTGGCTTCTGGGAACTGTAGTTCCCTCACTGATGGAGTATTCTTTATGGTAATGTCACTCCCCCAACAGCTAAATCCCTCCATCTCAGTGGCTCACCCCAATCAAAGGTATTTCTTACTCAAATAAAATCCAAACAGGTGTCCCTGAATGGAGGAGGCCCCCCTCCGAGTGGTGACTTAGGGACCCAGGCTCTTCCCTGCGCCTCTGTAATCCCCTAGGACCGCGGTCGGCAAACCGCGGCTCGCGAGCCACATGCGGCTCTGTGGCCCCTTGAGTGTGTGGCTCTTCCACACAATACCACGGCCTGGGCGAGCCTATGTTGAAGAAGTGGCGTTAGAAGAAGTTTACGTTTAAAAAATGTGGCTCTCCAAAGAGATTTCAGTCGTTGTCCTGTTGGCATTTGGCTGTTGACTGATGAGTTTGCCGAACCGCGGCCCTCGGACTTCAGAGTCCTCTGCTGAGCCCTCAGGTAGGGGAGAAAGTAGGGTGTCTGGGGGAGAGTCCTGTGGCTGGCCCTCACCCAGGCCCAGCTCTGTGACGGGGCAGGAAAAGGAGAGGGGTTGGCACAGCTAGTCAGTCAGTCAGTCATATTGAGAGCCCGGACCCCTGGCGGTGGCCGGGCGCTGTGTCCCTTTACCAGCTTCCGGGCAACGAGGTCCCCTCTGGGCCACCGGGAGCCGTGACCCCCGGTTGGTGGCTGAAGGCTCCTTACGGACGGACCCTGGGGAGCTGCGGCCTCCCCATCCGGAGGCCTGACGCCCCTTCTCCCGCAGGAGAAGGGCTCCACCTTCCTGCAGCTGGGCTCCTCCACGGAGCAGCAGCTCCAGGTCATCTTCGAGGTGCTGGAGGAGTACGACTGGACGTCCTTCGTCGCCGTGACCACGCGTGCCCCGGGCCACCGCGCCTTCCTGTCCTACATCGAGGTGCTGACGGATGGCAGCCTGGTGGGCTGGGAGCACCGCGGGGCGCTCACCCTGGACCCCGGGGCCGGCGAGGCCGTGCTGAGCGCCCAGCTCCGCAGCCTCAGCGCCCAGATCCGCCTGCTCTTCTGTGCCCGCGAGGAGGCGGAGCCCGTGTTCCGGGCAGCGGAGGAGGCCGGCCTCACGGGGCCCGGCTACGTCTGGTTCATCGTGGGGCCCCAGCTGGCCGGCGGCGGGGGCTCCGGCGGCCCCGGAGAGCCCCTCCTGCTGCCGGGAGGCACCCCGCTGCCCGCCGGGCTGTTTGCGGTGCGCTCCGCCGGCTGGAGGGATGACCTGGCCCGGCGCGTGGCCGCTGGCGTGGCCGTGGTGGCCAGGGGGGCCCAGGCCCTGCTGCGCGACTACGGCTTCCTGCCCGAGCTGGGCCACGACTGTCGCGCCCAGAACCGCACCCATCGAGGGGAGAGTCTGCATAGGTGAGTGGGGCTGGGGCGGGAGCGGGGTGGGAAGACTCCGAGCCTGACTCGTAGGATGCTCCCTGCCTGAATGCCGTCAGATGGCCCTCTCTGAGCGTCCGTTTCCTTGTCTGTAAAGGAATGGGTGTCATTGAGTAATTGCCTCTCCTTTCCGGGGTTCAGTCAGATAATTTGGGAAAAGCACCTGAGACGCAGTGAGCGTGTTACTGTATTTCATCATTCTAAGATGCCCATTTGTTCACAGTTGAATGTCTTGGGAATCAAGACGTGTCTTAAAAATGATGTCTTGAGAGTGAGTAATGGCTGGGGAGGGACAAAAAAAAAATGATGTCTTATCGTGGCTTCGCTGGGAGAGCTTCTTTCTTTATGCGGCATAGAAATAACGACGCATCTTCTTGATGGCGTCTTAGGAAATACCCTTGTTAAGAGTACAAGCTGAACTTAAGTAACAAAAAGACTCAAAGAGAGAGAAATTTGTTCCTCTACATCTTAACAATCTGGAGATCTGGGGTCCAGGTTATCAGGAGACCCCCATTGCTCCATGTGACCATTCGGGGACCCAGGCCCCTCCCACCCTGTGGCTCTGCCAATCTCCTTCGCTCGCAGTCAAAGCTGGGTGGTGGGCAACTCTGAATTGCAGGTCATGAGAAGGGGGAAAGAGGGGATGTGGAGAGCAAGCCATTTCCTTTGGGGCAAGTAAGGTGGAAGGGACAGGTCTGACTCCCCGTTGGCGAGAACGTAGTCCAGTCACGTGGCCAGCGCTGGCTTATTGGCCGTTTACAGACACGTGCCTGTGCGTTGGTTAGATGTGGATTCTGGCTGGCGAATGCCTGTGCCTCACCGGTGGTTAGATGTTTTGAATGTGGCTCCTGCATGTGCTGTGCCCTGGGCTAGTTGCACAGGAGATTGGGGAATGTCGATTCTAGCTTGGTAGTTGAGCGCCCAGAGTACGCACGATTATTATTATTTTTTAAAATATATTTTATTGATTTTTTACAGAGAGGAAGGGAGAGGGATAGAGAGTTAGAAACACTGATGAGAGAGAAACATCGATCAGCTGCCTCCTGCACACTCCCTACTGGGGATGTGCCCGCAACCAAGGTACATGCCCTTGACCGGAAACAAACCTGCGACCTTTCAGTCCGCAGGCCAATGCTCTATCCACTGAGCCAAACCGGTTTCAGCACACATGATTATTTTTTTAAATATATATTTTATTGATTTTTTTTTTTTACAGAGAGGAAGAGAGAGGGATAGAGAGTTAGAAACATCGATGAGAGAGAAACATCCATCAGCCGCCTCCTGCACACCCCCTACCGGGGATGTGCCCGCAACCGACGTACATGCCCTTGCCCGGAATCGAACCTGGGACCCTTCAGTCCGCAGGCCGACGCTCTATCCACTGAGCCAAACCGGTTTTGGCCACACAATTATTTTAAAACAGGAGAACGGGGTGCCAGGACCGGTTTGGCTCAGTGGATAGAGTGTCGGTCTGCGGACTGAAGGGTCCCAGGTTCGATTCCGGTCAAGGGCATGTGCCTTGGTTGTGGGCACATCCCCAGTGGGGGGTGTGTAGGGGGTGGCTGGTGGATGTTTCTCTCTCATCGACATTTCTAACTCTCTGTCCCTCTCAATTCCTCTCTGTATAAAATCAATAAAATATATATATATATATATATATATATATATATATATATATATTTTAAAACAACAACAACAGGAGAACGGGGTGATGGAAAACAGCACCTCTGCCACAGGGAGCCCTGTGTGGGGAGAAATTGATAGGCTGGGGGCCAGAACAGCCGGAGCAGAGGCCCATATCCTGCAATGAGCTTAGGAGGAGGCGGCGGGTGAGCAAGAAAGCCTCGGGGAGGCCAAACGAGGACCGGGCGAGTTGGGAATCAGGATCCAGGGGACAGAGGGTGAGACAAAACATCCCTCGTTCATAAATACTCGCTGAGCTTGGCCTGCGAGGAACGAGGGCTCACGCTGGGCGCTGGGAACACAGATGAAAAAGCCCGCGGACTCCTCTTCAGAGAACGTGGGGTCCTGAGGGGCGCAGACACGGCCGGGATAATGGCAGCACAGCGGGGCGCTGGCGGTAATGGAGGTTAAATGGGCATCCCGGGAGCGCCGGGCGAGGGCTGTCTCAGCCAGGACATTTTTGGTCGCAAGAAGCAGAGTCTCATTCAGATTTCCTCGGGGAAGGGGGTGTTTATGGGAAAGATAAACTCGCACAGAAACCCAGGTGTCAGGAATTGAGGCCAAGACAATCCTCCCCCCCACCACCACCACCACCATTCCCAGCTTGCCACTCCCGAAGGCTATCCAGTTCCTTTCTTATGACCATTAACCCAGGACTCTGCTTCCTCCCTAAACTCATCATTTCTCTCCTGCCATCCCTCCCAATGTCACAGCTCATGCCCTCCCAAGAGAGGGATTCCATTGGCCCAAATCAGCCTTCCAAACTGGGCTACGCAAGTCGTGGCTCAGCCTGTGGAGACGGAGTTTCTGGGAGGAAGAGCTGAGGCCGGAAGGATGAATAGCTCACTCACTCACTCACTCATCACTGAAAAGCCCTGTACATTGCTATGTGCCCAGCATGGCGTTAGCACAGCATATGAAGGGTGGTGGGGCTGAGCAAGGCCCCTGCTGTCACAGAGTTCACAGTCTCACAGGGACCACAAAGAAAAGGAGGAAGGAAACACCAGCAGGTGATCACTCCTCCGATGAAAATCAAACCAGTGGGATGTGATAAGAAATGGCTAGGGTGGCCCTCACCGGTGTGGCTCAGTGGCTAGAGCGTCAGCCTGCGGACTGAAGGGTCCCAGGTTTGATTCCGGTCAAAGGCATGTACCTTGGTTGCAGGCACATCCCCAGTAGGAGGTGTGCAAGAGGCAGCTGGATCGATGTTTCTCTCGCATCGATGTTTCTAGCTCTCTATCCCTCTCCCTTCCTGTCTGAAAAAAAAAATTAATAAAATATATTTTAAAAAAATGGCTAGGGTGCTGGGTTAGGTGAGGTCCTCAGGAAAGGTCTGAGTAGGAGAAAGATGGAGATAAAAAGTAAATAAAGAGCCCTAGCTGGTTTGGCTCAGCGGGTAGAGCATCCACCCGAGGACTGAAGGGTCCTGGGTTCGGTTCCAGGCAAGGGCACGTACCTAGGTTGTAGGCCTGGGCCAGGAGGCATGTCACATGCAGGAGGCAGCCAATCCCTGTGTCTCTCACATCCATGTTTCTCTCTCTGTCTCTCCCTCTCCCTCTCTCTAAAAATCAATGGAAAACTCTCTTCGGGTGAGGACTAATAATAATAAATAAAAATAATAAGAAATAAAGAGGATGGGGGAATGAGGACAATTATGTGATACCATACTCAAATCAATAAAAAAATAAAATAAAATTTAAAAAAGAAAGAAAGAAAAGAAAAAAGAAAGAAAGAGGAGCCAACTACTGGCAGATCTTAGTGAAAAGAAGGGAGGGCAGACAGCAGGTGCAAAGGCCCTGGGCTGGGATTGCCTGCTTGCAGGCCAGAAAGAAGGCCAGAGTGAAAAAATAAAAATATATGTATATATATTTTTTTAAATTTTAAAATGAGAGAAAAAAAGGCCAGCGTGGCTGGAAGTTAATGGGTGGAGGGCTATAACTGGAGGGTGGAGAAACACAATGGGCTCAGCAGCTCATTTAAGGCTGTTCGGCCAGGTTAAGGGCTTTGGGCTTGATTCTAAAAGCAGTTGGGCCAAAACCGGTTTGGCTCAGTGGAGAGAGTGTCAGCCTGTGGACTGATAGGTCCCAGGTTCGATTCCGGTCAAGGACATGTACCTTGGTTGTGGGCACATCCCCAGTGGGGGATGTGCAGGAGGCAACTGATTGATGTCTCTCTCATCAATGTTTCTAACTGTCTATCCCTCTCTCTGTAAAAAATCAATAAAATATATATTTAAAAATAAATAAATAAAAGCAGTTGGGAGTTCACCAGAAAGAGAGTAACTCCAGGCAGGGGCACAGCACTGGGTAAAGGCCTGGCGGGGAGGAAAACTTGGCTGGGTTGGTGGTCCACAAGAGCTCAGGGGAGACAAAGGCAGGGGGAGAATTAGGGTTTGGGGGCTGATGAGGCTGTGGAGGTAGAAGGGGCCACAAGGACCCTGAACACCAGGTTGAGTCTCGGACACTGGGAGTCTTCGACATGGGGCACTAGGGAGCCATGGGCGGGTTATGAGCCAGGGAGAGACGGAGTCCTAAGAAGACCCCTTTGGGGGAGCATGGGGAGCAGCCTGAAGGAGTGAGATTGGAGCTGAAGGCCAGGCAAGAGGTTGGGGCAGGGCGTCAGGATGGCGATGAGGATGGAGAGGGGGGGTGGGACAGAGAGATCCCAGAGGCAGGAAGGATGGGGCTGGGGGACCGATGGCCTGGGCAGGGGAAGGGGCCAACTGATGATCGGGTCCAGTGACAGGGGCAATGTGACAGGCCTTCAGAGGACAGGGTGTCATTGCGTAGTGAAGATATGTGGGATCGATGCCCTAGCTGCTTTGGCTCAGTGGATAGAGCATCAGTCTGCAGACTGAAGGGTTCTGGGTTCGATTCTGGCCTGGGTTGCTGGTTCGATCCCCCGTGTGGGGTGTGCAGGAAGCAGCCAATCAATAATTCCCTCTTATCATTGATGTTTCTATCTCTCTCTCTCCCTCTCACTTCCTCTCTGGAATCAATAAAAATATATATATTAAAGAGAGAGAGAGAGAGAGAGAGAGAGAGTTCTGCCAAAACCGGTTTGGTTCAGTGAATGGAGCTGACTGAAGGGTCCCGGGTTCGATTCCGGTCAAGGGCATGTACCTTGGTTGCGGGCACATCCCCAGTGGGGGGTGTGCAAGAGGCAGCTGGTTGATGTTTCTCTCTCATCAACGTTTCTAACTCTCTATCCCTCTCAATTCCTCTCTGTGTAAAATCAATAAAATATATATATTTTTAAAAGATATGTGGGTTCCAGAGGAAGGACAGTTGAGCTGGGTCTTGAAGACGAACAGATTGGTCAGGATGAGAAGGGACAGAACACATGTTTTCCAGGCAGAGAGCACAGCACTTGCAAAGACCTAGAGATAGGAAACCGCTTGACCTGTTTGGGGACACTCAGTGTTAGTGGAACGCAAAGTGGGTTTGGGGTAGAAATAGTTGTGTGTTTTTTCCCAATATATATATTTATTTCAGAGAGGAAGGGAGAGGGAGAGATGGAAACATCCATGATGAGAGAGCACCTTCGATGGGCTGCTTCCTGCATATCCCAAACTGGGATGGAGCCCAAAACCTGGGCATGTGCCCCTGACCGGGAATTGAACCGCGACCTCCTGGTTCATAAGTCAATGCTCTGACCACTGAGCAACACCGGCTGGGCGAAAGAGTTTGAGGATGGGAAGCAATCAGAGACGGCAGGGGCCGGAGCACTCAGGGTCTCCACCGCCCCAAACCCAGGCTAAGCCTCTCGTCTAGGACCTGGTGTGTGTGTGTGGGCGCTGGGCAGCGAGGGGAGAGTCCCCGGCAGAAAAGAGGATTCTGGGAGTTTTCGACATCATGGGGGAGATTCCACGTGGGCGCAGGGGCTGGCCGGCAGGAAAGGGCCTCCTTCTGTGTTCAGCCACCGCGGCCCAGTCCGGGTGCCACGGGTCCCCTCCCTCTCTCCCGGGCAGGTACTTCATGAACATCACCTGGGACAACCGGGATTACTCCTTCAACGAGGACGGCTTCCTGGTGAACCCCTCCCTGGTGGTCATCTCCCTCACCAGGGACAGGACCTGGGAGGTGGTGAGTTCCCGCCCCGGCCTCCGGGTGGGAGAGGCCTGGACTGCTGGGCCGGGGGGGGCGGGGAGGACTGGGAGCCCAGACCTACGGGGAGGAGGGAGATGGGGGCCCAGACTCCCGGATCTGAGTCTGGGCCACGAAGGCCCCCTCCCCACCCCCCAGGAAGCCTGAACCCCCCGTCTCTCGGCCAAGGTGGGCACCTGGGAGCAGCAGGCCCTGCGCCTCAAGTACCCGCTGTGGTCCCGCTACGGCCGCTTCCTGCAGCCGGTGGACGACACGCAGCACCTCACGGTGGCCACGCTGGAGGAGAGGCCCTTCGTCATCGTCGAGCCCGCCGACCCCATCAGCGGCACCTGCATCCGGGACTCCGTGCCCTGCCGGAGCCAGCTCAACCGCACCCACAGGTGACCGCTTCAGTAGCTTCCTGCTGCCCGCCCGTGTTGGCTCAGTGTTAGAGCATCACGCCCCCCCCCCCCCCCCGGGGACCGAAAGGTCTCGGGTTCGATTCCGGTCAAGGGCACGGATCTGGCTGGCAGGCTCCAGTCCCGGCTCTGGTCTGGGCACGTGCAGGAGGCAACCAATCAATGTACTTCTCTTACATCAGTGTTTCTCTCAGTCTTTCCTTCCCTCTTCCACTCTCTCTACAAATCAATGGGAAAATGTCCTCGGGTGAGGATTAACAGAAAATAAATGGAAATATACACGGGAAAGTACCCTCTGATCTGAGGATTAACAACAAAAAGTCCTCCTCCCTTAAAGCCCAGGGGTCCCGGCCCAGCCCCTCCTTCCTTGGGACCCAGGACCCTCACCGCCCTCCAGCTTGGTGACCTTGGACAAGTCCCATCACTCCTCCGAGCCCCGGTTTACCCAGAAAGCGCTAACCTTCGTGTTAGCGGCTGCCTGTCCCTCCCTGCGCTAAGACGAGCGGCCCCCAGTGCCCCCAACCCTGCTGTCCCCCGCAGCCCCCCGCCGGACGCCCCCCGCCCGGAGAAGCGGTGCTGCAAGGGCTTCTGCATCGACATTCTGAAGCGGCTGGCGCAGACCATCGGCTTCAGCTACGACCTCTACCTGGTCACCAACGGCAAGCACGGGAAGAAGATCGACGGCGTCTGGAACGGCATGATCGGCGAGGTGAGGCGCGTGCATGCCCCGGGCGGGGGTGCGGGGACCGGAGCCAGGAGGGGGCCCGAGGGAGCGGGCCTCCGGGGGAGAACTCTGGGGCTGAGGGACTGGACTGAAGCTAGGGAACGCCCGGATTCGAAGGGGCGGGGCCACCAAAAGGACCCGCCCTGGAGTGGGCGGGGGAAAGGAAAAGGGCGGGGCCAGGAGAAGGTGTGGGCGGGGGCGGGGCTTGGGAGGTGGACCTCCTAGAAGGGGCGGGGCCAGGAGAAGGTGTCTGGGCGGGGGTGGGGCTTGGAAGGTGGAACTCCTAGAAGGGGCGGGGCCAGGAGGATGGAGCCCAAAACTTAGCTGCAGGAGCAGGATGCGGTCAGGGTCACCTCTTCCCACTCCTGTTCCCAAGCTCTTACCTCCACCGTCCCTGCCCCCCCCTGCGTCCCCCTCCCCCACCCACTCACCCACCACCCTCCCAGCCTCCCTCTCGCGCTGTCACTGGTCTCCTCTCGGGCCCAGTATTGCCTGCCTCCCGCTTTCCTGCCCAGAGCCAGCCGGGCACCCTCACCCGCTCCTCGCCCTCCCCCAGGTGTTCTACCAGCGCGCCGACATGGCCATCGGCTCCCTCACCATCAACGAGGAGCGCTCCGAGATCGTGGACTTCTCCGTCCCCTTCGTGGAGACGGGCATCAGCGTGATGGTGGCGCGCAGCAACGGCACCGTGTCCCCCTCGGCCTTCCTCGGTGAGCGGGCCCCTGGCGCCAGGCCGGGGCCGCGGTGTGCCCGTCCCACCTGGCATTGCCGGGACTCCGTCCAGTGGCTTCACTTCTGAGCCTCAGTTTCCGAATCTGCAATACAGAGAAGTCATTCCCACTGCCAGAAGCATTGTGACCAGGCAGCTCAGGTTGGCTGGGGGCGGGAGCCTCCTCTCGCACAGCCTTTGCAAGGCCCTGGGCCTGGTTTTGTAGCCATGATTCTGTGTTTTTCAAAAGTATGTTTTTATTGATTTCAGAGAGGAAGGAAGAGGGAGAGAGAGAGAGAGAAACATCAATGATGAGAGGAAATCGATTGGCTGCCTCCTGCACGCCCCCTACTGGGGATGGAGCCCAGAACTCGGGCATGTGGCCTGACCGGGAATCAAACCATGACCTCCTGGTTCATAGAGCAACCAGGGAGCCATGCCGGCCAGACTGTATTCTTTTCTTTTTTTAAAAAAAATATATATATATATTTTTATTGATTTTTTACAGAGAGGAAGGGAGAGGGATAGAGGGTTAGAAACATCGATGAGAGAGAAACATTGATCAGCTGCCTCCTGCACACCCCCCACTGGGGATGTGCCCGCAACCAACGTACATGCCCCTGACCGGAATCGAACCGGGGTCCCTTCAGTCCGCAGGCTGATGCTTTACCGCTGAGCCATACCGGTTTGGGCTGTATTCTTTTTCTTACGGAGAACCCTCCAAATTGTAGGAGCTTTCAGGCCCCACAAAATCCAAGTCTCCCCAGTATATACGTCTGAGATGAGGAGATGAGGGAGAGGTTAGCATGGTACAAGTCTCCCACCAGACTGCTTTCTGAGCACCTGGTGTGTGCCAGGCTCTGAGCGGCACACAAATCCCGCCTCTAAGAGCTCCTGGCCTCCTGGGGGAGACAAAATAAATTCTTAAAGGGATCCAGGGACAAAATCTCTTAAGACGGTGACCAGTCCTACAGGAAGTTACGCTGGGGGTCGGGGAGAGAAGGAAGGGAATAGTATTGGTGCTCGGTGGCTGGGCAGGCGGCCCCCTTCGCGGAGGCGACTCAGCCCTGTGTAGATCTGCCTGGAAAAGCATTGTAGGCAGAGGGAACAGCAAGGACGAAGGCGGCGATGTGCATGGAGTATTTTTTTAAAATATATTTTATTGATTTTTTTACAGAGAGGAATAGAGAATTAGAAACATCAGATGAGAAACATCGACCAGCTGCCTCCTGCACACTCCCCCACCGGGGATGTGCCCGCAACCAAGGCACATGCCCTTGACCAAAATCGAACCCGGGACCCTGCCGTCCGCAGGCTGACGCTCTTTCCACTGAACCAAACCGGCCAGGGTGTGCATGGAGTATTTGTGAAATAGCGGGGGGGCCTGTGTGACTGGAGGCATGGAGCCAGTGAGGGGGTGGCCGGGGGGAGGAGGAGGGTCTTGGTAGGAAGGCTGGGTGTTCCTCTTACTGAAATGGCAAGGGTAGCCAGGACCGGTTTGGCTCAATGGATAGAGTGTTGGCTTGGGGACTGAAGGTCCCGGGTTCGATTCCGGTCAAGGGCATGTACCTTGGTTGCGGGCATATCCCCAGTAGGGGGTGTGCAAGAGGTAGCTGATCGATGACTCTCTCTCATTGATGTTTCAAACTCTCTATCTCTCTCCCTTCGTCTCTGTACAAAATCAATAAAATATATTAAACAAAAAGAAAGAAAGAAAAAAAAAAAAGAAATGGCAAGGGTTCTAACCGCTGGCAGCGGGGGTGAGGCCAGGAGGCAGTGTGAGAGGTGGCAGGAAGCTGACACCCCGGAGGCTGGGCTCTGAGCTGGATTGGAACAGGAACGAGCGCCCATTCACTCAGCTCGGGGGAGATAGAAGGAAACGCTGTCACTTCCCGCTCGCTCGCCGCCTGCGTCTGAGCACAGCTCCTGGCGGGCAGGCGCGGGGAGCCGGCACAGCTTTCTTCGTGCTTTGCGTTTGGTACTCTCCCCAGCGATGTCTCTCCTGGCTTCGTCTTGGCACCCAGGTCTCAGAGACACCGCGTGGGCCTGCTTTCAGCAGAGGAGTGACAGGGTCGCAGGCATGGCCCTCGGGGCGGCCCAGAGGAGTGACAGGCGCGTCCCCAGACGCTGCAGGGACCGGCCAGGGTGGTGACTCCGCGGTGACAGGGCCGTCCTGGCTGCCTGCACTCGGCCCAGGGAGATCACAGCAGCCAGAGCTCATCTCAGGGGAAGGGCTTATTGTCAGCGAACTCCCGAACTCCCGGAGGCCGTGTGAGGAGGGGGCACGGGACGTCTGTCTGATGGGCACCTCAGGACGGGAGGGGAGCTGTGGAGACCGGGCCGGAGAGGCAGTGGCTCACGGTGAGGTCTGGGCGGCTTCCTGAGCGATCCGGCTGGAGAGACGGGCGGGAGCAAGGCTGAGAGTGGGGCCGTGGGTGCTGGGGAGCCACGGGGGACTGTGAGCTGGGGAGAGGTCAGGTCACCGCTCAGCGTAGAAAGAGCCGCAAGGGCCATGGAAAAGGGTTGGGGGGCCAGGCTTGAAGGGAGAGACTGGGGAGATGGTCCAGGAGAGGGGGCAAGGCCTGGTCCAGGAGTGGGAACAAAAGGATGGGGGTGGGGACTGATAGGCTGTGGCTGGGGAGGAAGGGAACCAGGGTGAGGGTGGGGGGGAGAATGTAAATAAGGGGTTGGTTTGTGACCGAATAGACAGGGGGACTCCCAGTTTGGGGAACCTGGGAGTTGGTGCCGGGGTGTGGGGCATGAATGGCTGGGGGGATGGCCAGGGGAGACGGAGACTCCGGTTGGGGCTAAGGAATCATATTCAGAAGACAGTTTCGCCGAAACCGGTTTGGCTCAGTGGATAGAGCATTGGCCTGCGGACTGAAAGGTCCCGGGTTTGATTCCGGTCAGGGGCATGTACCTTGGTTGCGGGCACATCCCCAGTAGGGGGTGTGCAGGAGGCAGGTGATCGATGATTCTCTCTCATTGGTGTTTCTAGCTCTCTATCCCACTCCCTTCCTCTCTGTAAAAATCAATAAAATAAAAATTTTTTAAAAGCTTACTGAAAACCCTTTGCCAGGGTGTTAAAAAGTAGGAAAAAAAAAAGACGGTTTCTATTTGGTGCTTGCGACCACAGAAATGGCTGAGATGGGCTGTCTTTGAGAGAGAATGGCTCTCAGGGGCCTGTGTGGGCAGCAAGGCTGGTTCCTGAGATGGGAAACTTGGGAAGGGGACCGAGTAGGACAGGGTCAGATCTGGGCTGCACCTTGGTCACATGTCTGTGGTCCCCCAATCTTTTGCTTGGCTGAGCCATGACCACCTCCCCACCCCACCCCCACCTCTTGTCTCCAGAGCCCTACAGCCCGGCCGTGTGGGTGATGATGTTCGTCATGTGCCTCACCGTGGTCGCTGTCACTGTTTTCATCTTCGAGTACCTCAGTCCCGTCGGCTACAACCGCAGCCTGGCTACCGGCAAGCGTGAGTCCCCTTCCTCCATCCCCCTACCTCAGAGCCCCTGAACCACAGCGAGAGAGAACTACATTTCCCAGCAGGCATTGGGGCAGAGCTATGGCCCCTTGAGGCAGCAGAGGCCTCAGGGGCCACTGGGGATTGTAGTTCTTTCTGCTCCCTCCTGGAGCAGAAGGAATTTGGGGTCCATGCCCCCTTACCCCCCATCTCCTGGCCCCCTGCAGGCCCCGGTGGCTCCACCTTCACCATTGGAAAGTCCATCTGGCTGCTCTGGGCCCTGGTGTTCAATAACTCGGTGCCCGTGGAGAACCCCCGGGGTACGACCAGCAAGATCATGGTGCTGGTGTGGGCCTTCTTCGCCGTCATCTTCCTCGCCAGCTACACGGCGAACCTGGCCGCCTTCATGATCCAGGAGGAGTACGTGGACACCGTGTCTGGGCTCAGTGACCGGAAGGTGTGTGCGGGGGGGGGGGGGGGGGGGGGATTGGCCGGGGTTGGAGGTCACAGGCCTTGTCACGTGGGTGGGCAGAGGAGGATTCTGGGGGTCTCCTCCCAGAAAGAGTTCCAGAACGGGAGAGTTCTGGGGCCCACAATGAGCCATTTAAGTATTGCCAGGGGAAGAGAGTTGCCAAATGTTCAAGCACAAAGAACCCCCAGTGCCAAATGGGGTAGTCTAGACCACCGTTCCTCTCAAAACTGTGATGAAGAACTAATTCTCGGCATTTCTAATCCAGTGGAGACCCATGCTTTTATGAAATACAATGGAAATGAATTACCAGAAAAGTAAAATTTAAAATGGAGGCAAGCAAAATTAAATTGCTCTAAATGCTGACTCTCATTTCTGTAACTTGCCTCATCGGGGGTCCCTGCTCACTGGGTGCCAGGACCTCTTAGAAGGTTGAGAAATCCATCCAATGGATGGCCACAAGCAATTTGTTTAATGCAATTGGATAGAATAGAAAATACGTTTGACTGCATCTTACGAAATAAGGATGAGTATGGCTTTATGAAACGATTGTCTAGTCGCATACGCACTTGACTCTGAGCCAGCACACACCTGTCTGGCTACGTCTGTTGTTCAAATCGTGAGCTATTTCTGAAGAGATTGGTAAATAACAACTGTCCCGGCTCCCCTCCTCCCACGGACCCAGCAAGTTAAGGGTTAATGCCTGGCATATCAGGGGCCTCTGGGAACCTTCTTGAAGCTTTTTTGACTGGACCATGACCAGGCCATGCTGGGTGTTAAGCATTTTAATATTACTGATTATGTGTATTGTAATTCATGTATCTGTAATTCGTGCACGGGTATGGTCCCTAGGCCTGGCCAGCGATCAGGGCCGATTGGGGCCTTCCAGCTGCTGGCCGGGGCTGCCAGCCAGGGGGAGGGACCGTGGGAGGTTGGCCAGCCACAGGGAGGGGCCAGGGGAGGCTAGCTGTGGGAGCACACTGACCAACAGGGGAAGCTCCTGCATTGAGCATCTGCCCCCTGGTGGTCAGTGTGTGTCATAGCAACCGGTCATTCTGGTTGTTCTGGCTTTTAGATAGATAATAGATAGATAGATAGATAGATATAGGTATATGCATAGATATATGTATAGGTATGGGCATGGGCATGGGCATAGGCATAGGTATCGATATTTGCATAGGTATAGGTATGGGTATGGGTATAGGTATAGGTATAGGTTTAGGTATAGGTATGGGTATAGGTATAGGTATGGGTATGGGTATAAGTATAGATATAGGTTTAGGTATAGGTATGGGTATGGGTATAGGCATAGGCATGGGCATGAGTATGGGTATAGGTATGAGTATATGTATAGGTATGGGTATAGGTATAGGTATGGGTATAGGTATAGGTATAGGATAGGTATAGGCATAGGCATAGGTATGGGTATGGGTATAGGTATAGGTATGGGTATGGGTATGGGTATAGGTATAGGTATGGGTATAGGTATAGGTATAGGATAGGTATAGGTATAGGCATAGATATAGGTATAGGTATGAGTATAGGCATAGGCATGGGCATAGGTATAGGTATGGGTATGGGTATAGGCATAGGCATAGGCATAGGTATGGGTATGGATATGGGTATGGGTATATGCATAGATATAGGTATAGGTATGAGTATAGGCATGGGCATGGGCATGGGCATGGGTATGGGTATAGGTATGGGTATAGGTATAGGCATAGATATAGGTATAGGTATGAGTATAGGCATAGGCATAGGCATGGGCATGGGCATAGGTATAGGCACAGGCATAGGCATAGATCTGCAAATGTGTAGGTACCTGTGGGTGGGCAGCAGTGTTTCCTACTATAGGCCACTGTAAGCAAGTCTAGGAACACGTTTGCCCTGGGGTGTCCCCTAGCTGGAACGGACATCGGGGTGGAGCACATCCTCACCCCGGAGGCCCCCAGAGGGCGCCCCAGTAACTCTCCGTTCTGCCCCAGTTCCAGCGGCCCCAGGAGCAGTACCCGCCCCTGAAGTTCGGGACGGTGCCCAATGGGTCCACAGAGAAGAACATCCGCAGCAACTACCCCGACATGCACAGCTACATGGTGCGCTACAACCAGCCGCGCGTGGAGGAGGCGCTCACGCACCTCAAGGCAGGGTCAGCGCAGACGGGGGCGGGGGGGGCGCCTGCGGATGTTCAGGGATGGCGAGGGGTGACTTATTGGCATCAGGGGTCAATGCGGGGTGGGTCAGCCTGGAGGGCAGAGGTTGCTGAGCGTGGGAGTGAACTCCCAGGAATGGGGTCCTTGTGATGGGGTTAGGGATCCAGTTCACATCCTGGATGTGTGTCTCTTCTTGGCTGTGTGTCCTTGGGCAAGTCACTCAACCTCTCTGAGCCTCAGTTTCCTCCCTTGTAAAATGGGGATCACAGGAGGACCTGCCTCATAAGGTTGTTCTAAGAACTACTACAGTTATTGTTACTGGTTAACAAATTATTTTGTTAGTATTGTTAGTTAATCCATGCGCAACAGAGCATGCCTGGCATGCTGTAGGTGTTTGCTGCTACCATCATCATCATCTTCATCATCATCATCATCATCATCATCATCATCAGAACTAAACTTGATGGAATGAATATTTGTATTAATATTATTTTTAAATTTTATTTAACATCAGTTTTCCCCAAAAATAGGGATAACGTTAAGTTCTGGCCCCAGAGTGCAGTCCAAGCTGAGCACGGTAACTCTCTCCCTGTCCCTCCTTTATTTAGCCACTCAGCATGCATTTGCTTTCTTAGCCCCTATTTTTTTAAGGGTCTGGCACATAGTAAGTGCTCAGTTAATGTTACTGTCCTATTTTTAAAAAATAGATTTTATTGATTTTTTACAGAGAGGAAGAGAGAGGGATAGAGAGCTAGAAACATCGATGAGAGAAAATCATCGATCAGCTGCCTCTTGCACACCCCCTACCAGGGATGTGCCCACAACCAAGGTACATGCCCTTGACCGGAATTGAACTCGGGACCCTTCAGTCCGCAGGCCGATGCTCTATCCACTGAGTCAAGCCAGTCAGGGCTCCATGGTTGTGTTTTATTCAAAGGGCAGTGAGCAGCCATGGGGAGGGGGGCTTTGCGTAGAAGAGAGGTGTGATTGATTTGTCTGTAAATGCCCCCTCTGGCTGCGTGTGGAGAATGGATGGAGGGGGCATCATGGGACCAGAGGGCCGGCTGTCCTGTCTGTTAAAGCCTTTCCCCAAAGGCCCATCCTCACTCACCCTCCAGGAGCCACTCCGAACCAGGTCCTGTTGGTTCCTGTTTGGTTAGGATTGTTGGGCTGCAAGATAAGAAACTGGATCAGTTTGGTCTGTAAAATGAATGGGTTTGCGTAAGGACACAGCAGTGTCTCTTAGCAATAGTTGCAGAAAGTGAAGCCAGGCCGGCGTGGCTCTGTGGTTAAGCATCCACCTATGAACCAGGAGGTCACGGTTTGATTCCCAAGTAGGCATATAGCCTATCCCTAGAGAGGGGTGTGCAGGAGGCAACAGGTCAATGATTCTCTCTCCTCGTTGATGTTTCCGTCTCTCCTTTCTTCTCTGAAATCAGTTTGAATTTTTTATTTTTTATTTTTATTTTTTAAGAAAGTATCCCTAACCGGTTTGGCTCAGTGGATAGAGGTCGGCCTGGACTGCAGGGTCCTGTGTTCGATTCTGGTCAAGGGTTGGTACCTTGTTTGCAGGCACATCCCCAGTAGGAGGTGTGCAAGAGGCAGCTGATCGATGTTTCTCTCTATCCCTCTCCCTTCCTCTCTGTAAAAAAACCCAATAAAATATATTGAAGAAAAGAAAGTAAAGCTAGGCTTTGAATGAATGTGAAAGTCATTCATTCATTTTGAAAATATTTAAGATTACCAGGCACAGTTCTGCACTGGATAATGGTAGTCAACAAAATAGTTAACTTTCTTGGATCTGTAAGGAATCCTTAGCAGATGTGTGTGATTGTGTGTGTGTGTGTTGTGTGTGTGTGTGTGTGTGTGTGTGTGTGTTTATCTCTCATAAGAAGCCCGAGGCTTGTGTGATAGCTCAGAGATACCATGAATAATCCGAACTTTGTTTCATCAGCCTGGGAGAGGGACCTTCCTGCTCGCTTTGGTTGCCTCGTGATCACAGTGTGGCTGCTGCCTCTCAGGAGCACACCGTGGTTCCAGGCAGGAAGGAGGAGGAGGATTTTCTCCTGGCAAGACTTCGCCTTTCTATTGGGAAAAGTGTGCTTTTCGCAGGGACTTCTGGCTATTTCTCGGAATCCATCAGAGGCCGACTCCTCGCTGCAAGGGAGGCTGGGAAATCATGTCAGCCCTCCAGCCTCTGTTGGGGAAAATGGCAAAGAAAGAGGTTGTACATGGAGACTGTGGTAGCCAAGCCACCAGCCAGGGTCGTGGCCTCATGCAATTTGCATTTTGCCACCCAGCAGCTTCTCTCTGGCATCTTGTCTTCTCTTGCAATTTTGGGGGGTTGGGCGGGGGTCTCTTGGGGACTATGGGGGTCACATGGCCCCTTGTCTCTCATCTCGGTGCTTTCCCTGCAAGGCTCCCCTTTCAGGGAACGTCAGCACTTTCTTATCGGTCCCCCCATTTCTCTCTCATCTCCTGTGGCTACTGTTTTCTCTGTCCAGCTTCAGCCTCTTCAGGGATTCCACGTTCCCCTTGGCCCTCTCTCTGGAAACACCGTTAGCATGAGCTGGTTTCGCAACAGGCTTTTCTTCCTTATTAATTTTTAAAAATATATCTTATTGATTTTAGAGAGGAAGGGAGAGGGAGAGAGAGAGAGAAACATCAATGATGTGAGAGAATCATTGATCGGCTGCCTCCTGGAGGCCCCCTACTGGGGACCAAGCCCGCAACCCAGGCGTGTGCCCTTGGCCAGAATCGAACCCGGGACCCTTCAGTCCCCAGGCCAACGCTCTATCCACTGAGCCACACCGGTTAGGGCCAGGCTTTTCTTCTTTAATCACAACTTTGGGCAGGCCCGCTGCTAACACCGGCAGGGCCGGCCTGAGAGTACACACGCAGGCTCATCTACTGCGAGTCGAACTATTTAAACTTCATAAATCAAGCCTAAACCGGTTTGGCTCAGTGGAGAGAGCGTCGGCCTGCGGACTGAGAGGTCCCGGGTTCGATTCCGGTCAGGGGCATGTGCCTTGGCTGCGGGCACATCCCCAGTGGGGGGTGTGCAGGAGGCAGCTGATCGATGATTCTCTCTCATCGATGTTTCTGACTCTCTATCCCTCTCTCTTCCTCTCTGTAAAAAATCAATAAAATATATTTAAAAAAATAATAATAAAATAAACTTCATAAATTAAGCTAGCATAATATCCAACGTGTGGATCCTCCCACCCTGACAAATACGCCTTCACAAACAGAAAGGCCAGTAAGTTCAAGTTCGGGATTCTCCGGGTTCAGTGGCAGAACCTGACTCCTTGCCTTCCTGCCCCAGTCTGTTCTCCCGCCTTCCTCGGCTCAGGGCTCCGGGTCACTCCCTCGGCCCATGGCATTGACTCACCTTCCCTGGCTGATCTTTTCCCTCCTCCTTATAAGGACCCCGAGGTTCTGTCGGGCCCACCTGCATAATCCAGGCTGGGCGTTATCCTACCTACCACAGCTTCCTGGAGATTCCCGGTGGGCACAACCCCTTGGCCTCTGGGACTCCGGCAGGGGGGGAGGTGAAGAGGAGACTTCTCAAAAGGCCTAGGCTGCATATCGAGTTTGAAGAATCATGAGCAGGGATGTTAGGACACAGCACAGAACAGGAAAAATAGTTGTTTTTCGGTGAGTCCTCCCCTGAGGATATTTTTTCCATGGATTTTAGGGAGAGAGTGGAAGGGAGAAGGAAAGACAGAGAGAAACATCCATGTGAGAGGGACACATCGATGGGTTGCCTCCTGCACACGTCCCCCGACCAGGGCCCTGGCTGGGGAGGAGCATTAAACCGAGGTACTTGCCCTTGACGGGAATTGAACCCGGGACCCTTCAGTCCACAGGCTGATGCTCTATCCATTGAACCACACCGGCTGAGGCAAAATAGTTGTTTTTAAATTGTGCATTGATTCCTCCTTCTCTCTAGGGACCAGTTTCCATATCTTTCAGTAAAATGCCGGGATTCTGGTGTCCCCCGTACCCAGGGAGTTCCTAACAGTTTCCTGGGGTGCTTAACAGCACCGGTTTTAAAACCAGATGGTGCCCTAACCGGTGTGGCTCAGTGGAGATAGCGTCCGCCTGCAGACTGAAGGGTCCCAGGTTCGATTCCGGTCAAGGGCATGTACCTTAGTTGCAGGCACATCCCCAGCGGGGGACGTGCAGGAGGCAGCTGGTCGATGTTTCTCTCTCACTGATGTTTCTAACTCTCTCCCTCTCCCTTCCAATGTGTAAAAAATAAAATAAATAAATCAGTAAAATATATTAAAAAACAAAACACAAGTGGGAATGAGAGGAAACCCCTTACTTGCAGTGGAACAAGTTAATTCAGTCCCTGAGCCTTCATGTTTCCCTCCGTAAAATCCATACGGACCCAGTTCTTCGAGGTCCGATCTGAGCAGCAGCCTGTGTTCAACTTCACATCCCGCTAGAGAGAATCCGATTGGTCCATCTGGGAGTCAGGTGTCCATGCCAGGGCCAATCAGCAGCGGCCGGGGTGAGATCTGGCCACGTGGTTCTCGGGCTGCCACTTCCCAGCTCCCTGTGGACTCTCAAAGGGGCCCGCGAGCCTGCAGCGGTGAAGCCCGGTGGCCCCTCAGCACCCCCCTCCTCCTCTCCGGGCCTGGACGATGCCCAACACTTGCTTATTGATAAAAATAAGAAGGTGAACCGAAATCGGTTTGGCTCAGTGGATGGAGCCTCCGCCTATGGACTGAAGGGTCCCAGGTTCCATTCCAGTCAAGGGCATGTGCCTTGGTTGCGGGCACATCCCCAGTGGGGGGTGTGCCAGAGGCAGCTGATCGATGACTCTCTCTCATCAATGTTTCTAACTATCCCTCTCCCTTTCTCTATGTCAAAAATCAATGAAATATATTTTTAAAAAATAAGGTGACAGATCTCTCCCTTCCCCCACCCCTTATTGATTCATTGCTGGTGGCTCGATGCATTTCCTCCGGCAGTTTTTCTCCTAGAG